GTCGTCTTTTCCGGCGACGCCAAGAACGTCATGACCGGCTCCTATAACAACAACTTCATGATCTATCCCGCGGAGAGCGGTAGTGATACGGAGGTCGTGCTGCAGGCGGACAAGAGCGCGTTCAAGGCCAAGAAGGTCGGGATCCCGACGCCCATGACCGGGGGAGTGAAGGACGGGGCCAGGATCGACAAAAAGGGCGGGCAGAACAGCAGGGCGGGGAGCCCGAGTCCGGCGGGCGGCGCGCAGCGGATGAAGAAGGAGACGGATGCGGATCAGATCGACTTTAATAAGAAGATTCTGCATATGAGCTGGCATCCGCGGGAGGACTCCATTGCGATTGCTGCGACGAACAATGTGAGTGGCTACTGGAATGGTATCATGCGTTTCGTGGAGACGATGCTGACTGATGTTGCCAGCTATTCGTGTTCTCGGCGCTCTAGACTGCATTCGTGCGTGCGCTTTGGAAGTCGCACCGGCGTCCTGGCGAGTGAGTTGGGGGGGGGGGGAGGCAGGGGGCGGAGATAGCACGTATACCATTTTTTGGTGTGGTGGCGTGGGCGGCGCACAGATTGTCGCGCTGAGCAAGAGGCAGTTCGGGGAGGGAAGGGGCAAGGGAGGTGGTGGATGAGCCAACGAGAGGCCTCGCGTCGAGTGGCACGTGTGGTGGTCCGGCTTCTTCGCGCATAGGGAGGTAGATGGACCTATGCCATGGTGTGTACGAATGAGTCAGTCCTCTTGGGTCTATCATCGTCTGTCGTGAGGCATGGATCACATGTTATAGCTCCATCGTGGTGTCCATGGGAAGCTGAGCACACCAGACTGCTTCACAGGCCATTGGGTCGATCTTGGCAGGCTCCCAAGTTGAGTGAAGTTACATGTAGCTCTCTCCACATCAGGTCCTCTACATGTACATGTACCCACAAGACTGCATACCCTCACACATTGAGCCGACCTCCCACTTGCGACAACCATGGGCGACCACGACATCTTCCGCGCCCTTCCCGGCATGGCTCGCGCAGGCACCGGCACCGGCCTCGCCAGCATCGCGCCGACACGCTCCCGCACCGACCCGCCGGCGACGGAGCGCAGTCACCTGCACAAGCGCCTGCACTCCAACACCATCACCGGCCGGGTCTCGCACCACCGCCACCGCAGCAGCGGTAAAGGCACGGTCCAGTCGGCCATCGACCTCAAGCCGCCCATCAGCTTCGACAGCTTGCTGCGGCGCGACAGGCGGAGCCCGGAGTCTAGCCGCAGAGGCAGCGCGACTGCGCGGGATGAGAACGAGTGGAGGGCTCGGGCGGAGGGAGAGGCGAAGAGGCGGCGGGTGAAGCCTGAGGATGTGCAGAAGGCCAAGGGCGAGAACGTGAAGCGGGAGGAGGAGCTGCGCAGGAGTCTGCAGCAGGTGGAGGAGCTGGGCATGAGCAGCACGCGGCAGCTGGACGACACATACTACGCCATCCTCGAGAAGGCGTCGATGTTGCGATCTACGGTCGCGGGGCTGCAGAAGCTGGCGGAGGAGAGCAAGAGGATGCGGGGCCAGTTCGACGGGGACGTGAAGACGTTGGAGCAAGAGACTACGACGACGATTGAGGGGTTCGGAAACTTCGAGGAGCAGGAACGGACGATCGATGAGCTGGTGGAGAAGCTGAAGAAGAGTAAGAGGGATACAGCGGAGCTTGACGCGCGATTGGAGGCGGCGAGGGTGAGAGTGGACGCCTTTGAGAAGAGGGAGAAGGAGAAGCGGAGCATGCGGCGGAAGCAGTGGCATGCCACGTGGGGAACGCTGGTGGGTGTTCTGGTGTTGCTGATTGCGCTGTTGGTGTTCAAGCATCGACGGCGTATTGGAGAGAAGTGTGACCTGACAAGGGAGATGGCGGAGGGTGTGGCGACTGTGGGCGTACCGTCGATATTGGAGGCGAAGCCTAGTCCGATCGAGGATCCGTATCTGCACCAGCTGTTCGACGAATTATGACGGGGGCTAGTGCTCACAACACCGTGAGCATCCGACTGCCAGCCAAGCCATCGCCCTTCACCACAATCTACTGGAGTCCCAGCGTATCACCGTTCACTTGATTTCTACAGGTACGAAAAGAGTGCGATCATTGCCACTCGAAGTTGATACACGTAGGTGTTGGTGTTGGTTGACGAGGACCACTTGGGGAGCTGTGGATGGACTGTTGCTGCCAAGCATGCTGCACACTTGGCTATGGCATGCGAAATGGATTGCGTACAGACCACGGGTACGCAGGGCCGGAAAAAATGCCAAAAGAGATGCGTGGCACACCTCCTATCATTGATCTATGCAGGGCTCGAACCTGCAGCCTCTTGATCGACCATTACTCGTAGTCAAGCACTCTACCATTGAGCCAATAGACCTCCCGATTTCAAGATCTACCATGGATCATTCTTGTCGTTGTCAAACGAGTATGGCTATGGACAACTGCCTCCTGCGGCTCCTCCCGCCCACAAAGAGGGTGCGTGTCTCTCGACAATGCTTCCGCTGCTTACCTACACTACATGTATGCTCCCATAGGAGCAAACTCGCAGCATCCGATGTACAGCAGATATGAACGGGCTCCACGTGGCTGTCAGACGTTTCCGGGAAAATTGCAGCGTCGAGGCCATCACGGGGCAATCTTGGGTCATCGCACACAACTCTGGTTGAAAAGCCCAACCCGATGGCCGCAGGTGGCGTTGGGCGTGGAGCCGTGGACGTCTCGTCTTGATGTCAAATGCCTTGATGAGAGCATTGCTACAGCCTCAGCATGGTCCTTTGCCACCATGTGAAGGGGTGAGAATGCCCGACCAGCATAGCTGCTGCGACGCCTCGGACGAGCACTGCCGCCGGCGCAGTCGGAGGATGGGCAGGAAAGCAAGCAGTTCGTGATACAAATCCGATCTTGACCGAGATGCAGCCCCCTGCACCTAACACCTCGCTATGTCAACATGCCATTCTGCTCGCTGTACAACAATCTCTCCTCAAACACCTGTCAGTCTTGGAACTGGGATCCTCTCACAAGCTCGGTCAGGACGTTTGGGTCTCAATGAGCATGCCCGTTAGTCTTCGCGCTCCCGTTCATCCCCACCTTTGCGGCTTTCTCAGCCTTCAACTTCTCCAACTCCTTCTCCACACTCTGGTCGAGTCGGGACTTCAGCTCCGGCCTATAGCCAAAGGCGAACAGGATCTCCATCCAGACGAAGAATGGCGCCAGAAAAATCGCTTGGACCAGGTTGTCGAGCAACGCCGGTGCTCGGCCCTCGTAGACTCCATGGCCAACGAACTGCGCGAGCCAGGATGCGATGTGCACGCCGATGGCGATGTAGTTCGCCGTCATGCCGTGGGTGGCGGTCAAGTGATTGGCGAAAGCCGTGCCGCCGAGGAGCAAGGGGGCCAGGATACCACCGGCCACGGGCTCCATGAGGATGTAGAGGGTGCTGTACGTGAGACAGGCGATGGTCCCGGCATTGGCGGGGAGGTTGGGGATGGTCAGCCAGGTTGGCAGTGGCAACGCCGGAGTGTTGGTGCCCTTGGTCTCGTTAGGCCATCGCTTGTAGATGTATGCGGCTGCTTGCGGCGTACGAAGAGGAAGCCAGTGAGCAGCAGTATGGGCACGCAGGTGATGTGGATGCCGATGTTGACCTAGAAGCGCAAGGCTATTAGACTCGGTGGTTGGCCTTTTGCTGAGATTGCGATACCGGATCGTGGTGGTACGAGCCATACTGTGCATGTATGAGCGAGCTGGTCAATCATTGTTTCAGCTTACGCGACTCACAAACAGCAGCTGCTTCTCCAGATTCAAAGCCATGCTTTCGACTGCCCGGACGAGGATGGGGAGCCAAGTCTGAGGAGCTTTATGGGTGGTCCTACTGCCGGCCAACTGGCGGTCCACGCATCGAGCCCGGCGACTAGCGCAACAGCAGCACCTCTGTGAAAGCAGTTCAATTGAGGGACATATATGAGGTGCGTGCGCAGGCAATTGAAATGCTGTCAGGTAAGACGCCTCCGAGGCCTTCCGACGTGTGCGAGTCACGTGCTTGGAACGGCCCGATCGCCTAGTGGATTCCGTTTTGATCGGTCTCCTCACCTCGACAGCGCTTTGCCCATCGCCACCACCCTCTCCGCTCACACACCTTGCCTTGGGAGCGGCCAGATTACATCACACCTCCACTGCCTCATCACAATGTCCATGTTCAGGACGGCCCTCCGCGGCAGCGCCCGCGCGGCCGGTGCACTGTCTGCCAGCAGCAGAATCGCTTCGGTACGTACAGCACCTATCCGGCGACGACGGAGCTTCAATGGCACCCGCCAAAGGTCGAAGGCAGCTCAATGGCCAGTCTACACGACCTTGACACTTCTCCGCGCCGCGTGCGAAGCTTCTGCGAAGCTGTTGCGACATCGCGAACACACCCGAGGCGCTTTCAGGGACAGCGCGCTAACGCCACGGCTTCTCCGCTGCAGCAACGAACAACATCCGCCATCGTCAACACCATCTCCCGCAGCTATGCCGCCGACGCAAAGGCATCCCCAACCGAGGTCTCCTCCATCCTCGAGCAGCGGATTCGCGGCGTGCAGGAAGAGGCGGGGCTGGCCGAGACGGGCCGTGTCCTGTCCGTCGGGTAGGCGGACATAAACCCATAAAGAGAGACGCATGCAAATGGCTGACACACCGTGAAGTGACGGTATCGCGCGTGTCCACGGCATGAACAATGTCCAGGCTGAGGAGCTCGTCGAGTACGTGCTTTCTCACAGTCGCGCAGCAGCAACGTGATACTGACAGCCATCCAGGTTCGCGTCCGGCGTGAAGGGCATGTGCATGAACCTCGAAGCCGGCCAGGTCGGTGTGGTGCTCTTCGGTTCCGACAGAGCTGTCAAGGAAGGCGAGACCGTGAAGCGTACCGGCCAGATTGTGAGCTTCCGCACTCGACCTTCACAGTGGCCGCTTCTAACATTCCTAGGTGGATGTCCCTGTCGGCCCAGGTCTTCTCGGCCGTGTCGTCAACGCCCTTGGTGAGCCCATCGATGGCAAGGGGCCCATCAAGTCCGTGGAGAACCGCCGTGCCCAGGTCAAGGCCCCCGGTATCCTGCCCCGCCACTCCGTCAACCAGCCCGTGCAGACCGGCCTCAAGTCTATCGACGCCATGGTGCCCATCGGCCGTGGTCAGCGTGAGCTGATCATCGGCGATCGTCAAACCGGCAAGACCGCCGTCGCCCTCGACGCCATGCTGAACCAGAAGAGGTGGAACGACGGCAACGACGAGACCAAGAAGCTGTACTGCGTGTACGTCGCTGTCGGCCAGAAGCGGTCCACCGTCGCCCAGCTGGTCCAGACCCTGGAGCAGCAGGACGCCATGAAGTACACCATCATCGTCGCCGCCACTGCCTCCGAAGCCGCTCCTCTGCAGTACGTATTTCGTCATCTGGTGTTATGCCCATGCAGTAGCTGACAACATCATAGGTACATCGCCCCGTTCACCGCTTGCTCAATGGGTGAGGTGAGTCTAACCTTTTCTTTTTAATGTTCATCTTCCCAGCCCACTTTCCCGCACTTCAGCATAGCGAAGGCACGAGCTCTCCTGGACAGCCCGCGCGCCGCCTCGTTCAAAGCTCTTAAGAAGCACCTCGACAGCCAGAGCCACAAGGCCGAGATCGCCGACGGCACTGCCATTGAGGTCCCGCCCTCGAAAGACGTATTCCGCGTCCGCAAGTCCGTGGAGAAGGCCGTGGCGTCCAAGCGCTTCCATTGCTCGGTGTCCAACCGCACGTTCCCCGGCGCGGCCAAGCTGGACATTCACAACAAGACTATGGGTCACTGCAAGAAGGTCGCCAAGCTGGTCTCCTAACTTTTCAACTTTCACTTTTCGCCTTGCTCACCTTGCTTACCTTGTTGTGTACCTTGGGCTAACCACAAACAAAATTTGCCAGTGGTTCAGGGACAATGGAAAGCATGCCGTCATCATCTACGACGATCTGTCCAAGCAGGCTGTGGCGTACCGTCAAATGTCCCTGCTGCTCCGCCGCCCGCCCGGGCGTGAGGCTTACCCCGGCGAGTAAGTTGCAGACACGTTTTCCTACTTTGTGATGCTTAGCTGACTGGCCGACAGTGTCTTCTACCTCCACTCTCGTCTCCTCGAGCGCGCTGCCAAGATGAGCGACAAGCACGGCGGTGGCTCCCTCACGGCCCTCCCCATCATCGAGACCCAGGGTGGTGATGTGTCCGCCTACATCCCCACCAACGTCATCTCCATCACCGACGGCCAGATCTTCTTGGAAGCCGAGCTGTTCTACAAAGGTGTCCGCCCGGCCATCAACGTCGGTCTCTCGGTGTCGCGTGTCGGCTCCGCTGCCCAGCTCAAGGCCATGAAGCAAGTCGCCGGATCCCTGAAGCTCTTCTTGGCGCAGTACCGTGAGGTCGCCGCCTTCGCCCAGTTCGGCTCCGATCTCGATGCCGCGACCAAGCAGACGCTGAGCCGCGGTGAGCGTCTGACGGAGCTGCTCAAGCAGAAGCAGTACTCGCCCATGGCCGTCAACGAGATGGTGCCCCTGATCTTCGCGGGCGTCAACGGCCACCTGGACAGCGTGCCCGTGGACAAGATCCTCACGTGGGAGGCGGACTACCTGAACAACCTGCGGTCGAACGAGTCGGAGCTGATGTCGCAGATTGAGAAGGAGGGGGCGCTGAGCAAGGAGCTGGAGGCGAAGCTGAAGGAGAGCGTGGTCAAGTTCACCAAGAGCTTCACTGCTTGAATTGAGGTGGGGAGGGAGAGGCAGGGGCGGGAGTTTTGCAGGGTGTACAGTACGGAAAGTACGCTTTGAGCCAGAGCGTAGAGGAAGAGGGGCCAGTGCAACATTGTAGATACGCGGGTACCTGTCTCATTTGTTCGAAGGGGGGTGTCCTCGTGATGCGCGCAGTCTTTGGACGACGTGCTTTGCTGGGATGCCGACTTAGGACAGCCACGCTCTTGACTGACGAATACTCCCCATCGCCACGACCGGCCTCGGTCACACGCTCTTGAGGCTTGTCACCGGCAGGCCATGGCCTGGGCTGTCCACGGCTACACGAACACGGAAACCGCGCACCGCTAGACTGGTGCGAAAGGGCGATCGTACACGTGGGGATCAAACATCACGACAAGCATGCGAGTAGCGCAACTTCGCACCGCAGCAGTCGTGGACATCGCGTTGGTGCATGGTGCCGTGCGTGATCGTGGTTCGTAGCATGCGCGACGCATGAACGATGGCACCGGCAGAACAACAAACTTCTCGCCTCGCACCAACAGCCATCGAGATCGGCCTGGAGGTGGGGTAATTAGAACCTACCGTGCCGACCACATCATGCACCGGGGCAACGAGTTCCACTTCTGCCACCGCGGAACAG